CCCGCGGGGGCGGGGGGGGACGGAGGGGGATTGGCAAGGGGGGGGGGGACCCAGATTTCGATTCCCTGCAGACATCACGTGCCAAAAAAACAGTACAAGACGCAACAAAGGGCCTCTGAACTGAATTGACATGGTTGCAGACTTCCTCGGGTTCGCCCGAGGGCAGTCTCCCCGGAGGGATGCGTCTCGACTCGGAGGCAAACTGCATCGGGTCGTGTGTCCGAACGGCGAAGCAATAAATAATTGTGTATTAAAAAAAACTTAAAAAGAAGTATCACAATGTCAAAAAACCACTAGAGCCCGGATTCGAGGCACAGGGCATGGAGTTGGGAGACGATCTGGCCGAAGCTGGGTCGGTCCCGTGGGGATGCGGACCAGCAGGTCTCCAACAGCGTCCCCAGGGGTTCCGGTGCCAGGTGTGGTGCCCTCAGGCACAGTTCCTGTTTTCTGAGGAGGTGCAGCACCGCATCGTCCGAGTACTCGTGGTAGGGCAGTTCTCCCTGGTGGAATATCTCCCACACGCAGCACGCCCAGGCCCACACGTCCGACTTGGTCGAGTGTTCGTCTTCGAAGACGGCCTCGTGCGGCATCCAACGCAGCGGAATCAGCTGGAAGATCGAGGTATGGATGCCTTCGACATCTGGATGTTTGGTTAATGTAAAAAAAAAATCTATATATTTTGCAGTACCTGGTTATGCAGCTGACAGTATTCGGCGCAGTAGGTGTCTCGACACAGGGAAGGATTGGAAATCTTGATGTCCAGCGTGGATGAGATGAGGCAGTTGCGGGTGGCAATGTCCTTATGGACAAAGCGGTGGTTGGCCATGTGTTCCATGGCACAGCTGATCTGCTGGGCCATCCGAATGGCCTGGGCGATTGTTAGTGGGGGTGGCTTCGGGGCATCGGGACGTGCCACCCGGTCCTTGCGTGTCGCCAGAAGAAATTGCTTTAGGTCTCCCTGAAATAAAATGATATTACAATCAGATGTGGAAAGAGCACGACCATTGATCTCCATTCTCTCACTGATAACTTTTATAATGCAATTATTTGCAGTAAGAATGCAAACTTCTGAAGCATCCAGTTGAGGTTGACATTATCTTATTGAAGTTTCATTCCAAGAACAGGTAAAGGCATGTACAGTGGCTGCACAGCATGGATTTTCATGGGTTATGAAGTCAAAGAACTTTCGAATTAAACTCTACATTCTCATCCATGCTGAGTCCCACAAACACTAACAATTAAAACGTGTTCCTTTTTTCCATAGACAATTCAAGCAATCAGACAAGTAAAAGGGAAAGAGGATTGCAAAATTAGAAGGCATCCCAGAGAAAGACTCGTTCTTACCCAGTCACTGTACTCCATGACCATGAGGTGCGGAAAAGCATCACGACAGAGGGCAAGGAGACGGGCCATGTGGGGATGCTGCAGCCTCCCGTACAGCTCGGCCTGATGGCGGAACTCCAGCACGGCGTTCTCGTCTCGGTTCTGCAGGGCCTTCACCATCACCAGTCCTCCACCCCCATCGATCTTCTCTCCTCCGTGCATCACCTTGGCCAGGAACACATCTCCAAACTCGCCCTTACCTGAAACCGAAAAATTAGAACCTCATTCTCATCATGCAATTCTTGCTTCTTGGGTCACTGTAAGTATCTACATATTTCTTGGCAAGAATGAAACATCATGAAATTAGAACCCTCCAAGTAAACCTGCTTACCATCTACTTCTCATGAAAAACAAAAGGGAAATTCAATATTTTAATTTAAAAAAATGCAGGTTTTGCATCTCAGGAAGAATCCAAAACCTTTTCTGCTTATGGCCACCACAATCTGTAATTCAGCCATTGCAGTCATCACAATGGAGGTTCCTTCTCAGGCAATGAAGAACGTACCAAGTGGCATGAGGGTTTGCAGATCCTGTCGACTGAGGTGAAGCGAAGAGGACGACTGTGTGGAGGCGTGAGACACAGATGCAGACGAGGTCTTCAGCCCGCTGGTCCCGGATGGGGGTGGGGCGTGGGACTGGGAATGGGACGAAGACTGAGAATAGGCCGTATCCCCATCGCTTTTCCCTGCCTCTTTGGAGAGGGTGAGGCCTTTCATCTCGTGTCCAATGGTAGAATATGCATGAATGTCCCCGTTCTCAGACTTTGCAGGTCCTGTTGCATTCAATGTCACATTTTCAGAATGGAACTTAAAATTTAATCCACAACGTCCTTTGAAAAAAATTCCATGTAAATTTGATTATAAGCTTCATAGGGAGCTATCTCAACAGTATGGACAGGAGAAGGATTTGGATATGAACACACATTTTAGGTTGGGACAAGATAGGATTCCATCTCCATGCTGACAACACTCATACAAAATTTTCAACCTTTTTTCGGTGACACCACTCCCATTCTCAGACATGACATGTTTTTTTTTTCCAAAGGATGGGGCACATGGACTCACGCAGGGGAGGTAGGGGTGGAGGAGGCTGGCCGTGCTGGGCCACCTGAAGATACGCCTGCTTCCGTTTGATGCGACGACAGCGGCACCAGACCATGAGACCCAGGACCAGGAGAATGTAGGCGCCAGCAGCACCCAGGGTGATGCTCACCGTCTTGGTCATCATTCCAGAGCCACCCATCTCCTCTGGGTCTGGGGAACCTGTGCCCTCTTTGCCGAATCCTTCCAGTACTTCACCGTCTGCATCTACCGCAAAAACAAAAAATGTCAGCATTAGAGCAGCCTGTGGAAATGAGGCGATAGTCACTGGAGCTGAGTTCATTTTGAACAGTTTCCTTTGACAGCATAGCAACATATTGCCAAGTTTGCCAAATAAGAGAAAAAAGGAGTGACAGAAGAACTTTTGAATTTAGAAACATCTGTGGTTAACTTATCAGTCAGCACTTTCAAGGTTGCAATTACAGAAGCATTTGATGATCAAACTTGAAACAGTGAATTTCTGGTCTGCCATGCATTTCCTCTTCCTACATTCATACTTGATGACACTACAAATAAAATGACGATGCTAGTGAAAACTAAAATGAATCAATAAACAAAGACATACACATTGACGTTTCAATGATCATCTGTGGAACTGGAAAGCTCAATGAGCAATATTTGAAAATGCGTTTCGTGAAAGTAAAACGCTCCTTAAACCGACAAAATCCCCCCCAAAAAACGAAGGGTCCAACCCAACCGAGCACGATAACATCCTCGATCGCCATACATCAGAGAGCCCATCGAAAAAAAAAAAGACGCATACAACCACCGCGATCTTACTCGTAACAAGAAGCTGCGTGTCGACCCTGTTGAATCCTCCCGAATTCCCGGCCGTGCACCCATAGAGCCCCTGATCCTCCTGCACCACCTCCTCGAACCAGAGGCTTCCGTTCCCCAGCAATCGGATCCTGCACACGCAACCCACCGATGAGAGAACCCCCTCTCCCATTTTTCCAGAAAAAAAAAAATCCCTCGTACCGTCTGTGGTCGTATCCGTTCAAGTATCCGTCCTTGTCCCACTGGATAGTGGGCTCGGGATCTCCGTGAGCCTGGCAGTTTAGCATCAACTTCTGGCCCAACACGGCTCGTGTCACGTTCTCCGGTTTCACCGTGAACTTCGGCGGCTCTGTCGGCAAAAAAAAAGGACATTTTCATATCGTATACGTGCAGAGCGATTCAGCGTCCCACGAAATCGTGGATTTTGTGTAACATCCAAAATTTCACACTATCTTTCAATTCCCTTTCAAATTAACGCAATGCCTGGCATTCAGGAGAAAAAGCTTTTTCGGGAAAAGAAATCGGCTGTCTCGATAACTGTCTCTGAGAACAACCAAAAATACAGAGAAACTGCCGCTAAAACTTACTAAAAGCGCAAGCACCCATCAACCCCTACCGCACCCGCTCCACACATCCCAAACATTTGTAAGAATGTCAAAAACATCGTC